TNTNTATAATATATATATATATATATATATATATATATATATATATATTAAGATCGATACACGAAATGTATCCTCAGGTGAGAATCTTACAACGTGTATCAAATGCAACGATCAAAAAGCGAAAAACAACAATGGAGGAGTCGTCGATGACTCGTAGGATCGATGTGTCGTGATCTTGACCTTAAATAATCGATATCTCACAGACCGGCTACGGTTACAACACTGAAAGCTTTATTATTAGCGAGGCTCGGCGTTCAGATAAGAACGATAAACTCGAGCAGAAATTTGTCGTTATCGAGGCTGGGGTTATCTTATTCGCACATTCTCAGGGATCTCAAAGGATCGTGGAAAAACTTTTCCTAGAAATCCAGGTTATCTCGAACAAGCCTCATTAACCTGTATCCTTCGTGCAGCGATGAAATACAAATATCTCGTTGCTTCCGCCACACACTCTTTTCGTTTGATGTCGTCCTCGAATTGAACGAAGTCTATCATTAATTCGTTTACCGATGCCATTTTCGATCGCCGTTTCGACAAGATTCGGAATGTGGAAGTGAGATAATTATTATTATTATGGAAGAATCTAATGTCGTTTGTAATTGTACGAATTGTGAACTTTGCTGCGAATTTCAATTTACTTATTTTTGACAATTAATGACAATACTTCACAGGGAAGATTTTAAATAGAATAAAATTGAGGAAAATGTGTCATTCGAGATCTTGAATCTTCGTCGTGTATTTGAGTTAATATTACTGGATTCGATAATTTTATACGACGGTTGTTCGTTCAAGAAGAAATATGCAGAAAGTCAAAAAACGATATATATTTTTGGCTAATAAATTATTTATTTCCTCGTATATCTCACAAAATCTTATGCGTTACGTTCATTTATCAACAATTTTTCAGAGAATCCCTACGTAGAGTAGAAACACGAAGAGTGTCGTGGAGAGAAACATAAATGTCACCGTCATCGCCGCCATAACGGCGTTCTTCCTCTTCTTCTTCGTTCTTACCAATACGTGAAAATCCTTTGACTGTACAGAGTAAAGGGAGAAAAATTCTTAGCAATGTATCAAAATCTAATTATCAGATTCTGTCAAAAACTTTCACTCAAGCATTATTTATGCAAATTGCTTCTCGTTTACTCTTTATTTCAATTAAAAACTTCGAAAGTTTTCATAAAAACAGGAAAAAAAGAAAAAAAATGTTAAGAAACTTTTCCAAATTGAATTTCGAAATTGTCCGAAATTTTTATTAATCTTTTTTCTGCAAGACAGATTGAAGAATGTGGATAGAAAGTAATTCGAAAAGGATTTTTAATTAAACAAACCCGGTTGGCAAGTTTAGAAGCATGAAGGATCGTAGTTAATCGAGGTTCGATGCAGAAGCAATTAATATTCGTATCGTTCCAACGCGTACAAATAAAAGAGCTTAATCTCGAGACACGCATTACCCTTGGGAAAATAAATCGATTCGAACTGACTCGTGGGCTCGTTATCGATCGATTTCAATGAATATTTTTCACGGTGCCGATCTAATTATACGGATGATTTATTACAACATCGAAGTCGATCAAACGATTGCAACCCGATTTACCATAATTTGCAAGCTTTGAGTCTTTCGAACGAGTTCCTCGAGCCTCTCGCCTCTGTCGATCAATTTCTGAACCCCGTCCATCAATGTTTTGCGAATTTCCGCCAGTTCTCCTTCCAGTCTTGGGATCACGTCGATATTATGCTGATTATATTCATCCTGAAACGTATAATATCACCGAAATTAATATTTTGTCGAACGGATTTTGTTAGCAGTTAAACGATTCAACTTATACCACTATCTTTTTCAGAGGTTTCGAGAGATCTATGATAGTCAAACTGGTTAGATCTCTCGTCAGATCGGCCAGGATAGGAAGTTCCTTGTAAATACTTCTCAACCTTTCCAGAAACACTTGGGAACAGGATTCCAGCTTGGCTGCTGACGAAGGGCAATCCGGTTTCAGGGTCAGGCAGGCGTAGTGAAGTTCACAGATGAGCACGTGCACCGTGTACCTGTGAAGAAATGATATTTTCCAAGATTTCAGGAGCCGTTATCAAGGAACGATTTTTCATGAATTGTTATTCGCATGAAGCAAGAGGAAAGATTTTATGGAATTCAAAAAAAAAAAAAAAAAGAAATTGCTCGTGAAATTATTATCTTGACTTAATATTGAAAAAGAAGAAAAGGCATCAATTATATTTTTTAATTTTAATTTTTTGTCTTCGTTTTCCACGGAACATTAAATCCATACAAATTTTACAATCGCGTGTAAAACTCACTCGTTAACGATAAGTAATTTACCATTGAGTTAATTATTCACACATTAGACACATATAAAAAGATCTCAATGTATACGAATCTATTTAACGAGCACGATAATTTCAAAAATACATTCACCCGTGCGCAAACATTCTTTGTATTCTTTATCGTCCAACGTTATGCTTGAAATTTTTTTTTTCTCGCCACCGATTATCTCCCAGAGAACTGCCAGTCAACGTAATTGAACACATCCAGAAGTTTCCACTCTCTCGAACAATAATTCTCCTTCGAATAATAAAAATTCTCGAAATTCGGAAATTCTTGAAAAATTCGTGCGATTCGAATTATCGCGCTTACTTGCCCCGATCGAAGCTGATCTTGTCGTTCTCCACCGACTTAAGTCCATCGACCGTGCTCAAAGCGATCTCCCTGTAAGTTGGATCCTGTTTCGCCGGGTAATCGGCCACGATCTTGCACCCCGACTTCTCCCAGAACGCCACCAACGCGTAATGCACCGTTTTATTCATCCTTCGACCACTTATTCTCCACAGAATAAAAGTATTTCCAATATTCGAAGCATGAATTACCACCGCAAATGGAGCGAGGAACGAAACTCGACTCGCCCTTTTCCCTCTTTTCCCTTCTTTCCCACCCCGACTCGATCGATCAATTGCTCGAGATGGATTCCCGATGCTTTCAAGAATCGACGCTCGTCGACTTGGATGGACGAAAGACGATGCACTCGCGTCGTGGAACACGGAGGATCATTCGCGGACCGATTCACTGGAACGTCTGTGTCGGCTCCTATCGACGATGGCTCCTCCTCCTCCTTCTCCTCCTCTCTCTTTCTCTTTCTGCTTGTTTACCAGGTCGGTTTGCATCGGCAATGAAAGAAATTTCGATAATGGCCGATAACGAAGTCGCCTCGTAAGGAAAACGACGCCTTCTTTCTTTTTTCTTTCTTCTACGATTAGATACGACGCGTTGTGTCACGCCTATGTGTTTTTGTTCGTCGCAATGAAGGGGAAGCTCGTTGAAGGGGTTTAAGAGCATCGATTAATCCTTGGATCGAATTTGATGAAATTGATTTTATTGGGTATAGAGGATATATTGAATTTATTTATTCCATAAGAAAATACGACAAATTCATCAAGTACAATACAATATCAAGACAAAACTATCGAAACGAAGTAAATTGGAATAGAAAGTATATTTTTTAACATATTCTTTAAACAGTGTCATCTTTCAATGATTGCTTGTTTAATTGGAAAAATAACATTTTAGAAATAAATTACATTAATACGTTTAAGGAGGAAAGGAATTAAAATTCGGAGCCCTAGTAGCAAGTTAGAAATTAATTTTACGAAAGCCATCGTTTTGCAAGTGAAATTTGGAAGATTACGGAGGCAAATTTCTTCGAAAAATAATTATAACAATTTTGATTTTTCTTTAATTCGTTACTCTTACATACGAATTTTGCGTTTCTAAAATGTTTGCAGTTCTGAAAAAATCTCTATAAAGTATTAAATTTGTTTACAACAAATATTTCAGCCACACAAAAAACTATTCGTGACTACGAATGGGCATAGAAAGTTAAACGAGTTTTAAATTCTGCGTGACAGAATGATTACGAGTATACTTATGAATACTTACCAATTGTGAATAGTGTTATATAAATTGTTTATGTATCTACACTAAATGTATGAAAGATACAGCAAAATTGATTTTTTTTTCTCGCGAAAATCATCATTGATCTCAACTTGGAAAATAAATAGAAGAATATTATCTGCCTTGTTTACGAATCGTTTATACTAGAACATAATGTTAATCGAATTGAAATTATTAGAGAAAAGATATCTGCTTCGTATCTTTTAACCGATCGAGGAACATTAATCTGATTGATGGATCAGATTGGCCGATTAATAGATTCCAAGATATATTTGACATAGATAGAAATTAATTGAATCCACGAGAGTGCAGCCATTGTTCGATCATTTGCATATTTGTATCCATCCAATCGATATTGTTTTCTATATCTTCGATAGTGTTTCTCTTCATGCTCATGGTTATTTTTAAATCATTATTTTTCAAAAAGAATTTTCTTGCCTGTAAAAATAATAAGTTTTTTTGGGGGGGGATGATTCAGTTTTAATTAAAAATCGATTGAAAATTGGTTTTTAAAAATTATAATTAGCCAAGACTTTGAAACTCGAAAGTCAGAATTCGTTTGTTTAATTTTTTTTTTAAAGAACTATTTAACTTAGGAGAAGTAGATATTTAACAAATTTTGATCGATATTAATTATTCTTTTCTATTTGTAATAAATTTTGTCTTCGTTGCAATGAATATCAATTAAAATTTTCTAGAATTTCGAATTTTCCAGTCATATATATTTTTTGAATATCAAAGATTTTCGAGATATAGAATTAGTTTTAACAAATTTCATATATCCTTCCACAAAAATGATCTTACCTCCTGTAACTTTTGACGATCCTTGAACAAAGATAAGATCCCGCAGATAAGCTTTCCTAAAATGTAGTCGTTCGTTTTGTATTTTTCGCGTAGCTTTATCCAGTTTTCCCTACGAGAAAATTTAATATTTGTTGATGCGCATTAAACAATGAAAATTTAACGAAAGCTCTCCTCCTCTCGGAAAAAATTCATTAGTTACTTTACGAAATTCCAGGCAACGTCCACTCCCACAGGATTCAAGGCAATCTTGATCAGCAACGTGGCAAAATCTTGCTTACGAATGAATTTCTCGTCCAATGCTTGCGTGAGATATCTAAAAAATCAAAGAGAAAAATCGAAGGATTTATCGTCTCTTTTGAAACTAGAAAAATATTGATTTGGAAATTCAACGACGATTCGAAAATTTTGAATAAAAGGTAAAATCCAAAGATTTCGTAACTTTCCTTTCTGTATTTCACAAATGTCTATAAATTTACGTTCGAGAAACGCCATAAATCCGACGCGGCTTCGACAAATTGGACAGCGACACGCGACAAAATAACAGAGAGGCCTCCAATCGTCGAAGGAGAGTTGTTGGCGATTAGCTATTAGAATGAATCGCTGCCTGACGAACCGTTTAAGAATATCTTTGTCCAGACATCCAGTCAATCCGATCATCATACGTTCCTTTTCCTGTACATCTTGCTCCATCTTCAGTCGTTGCGACATATTCTTGTATATCGATCCAACGTCGCGCGTAAACAGGCCTATTCGTTCGACATTGCTGTATACAAACGACAAAAAGAAAATATTTTGCCAAGTTATTCGCCACTCTCACCGTACGAATAAACGATAGACCGAATATCGACCGGCACCGGTTCGTGCTTGACGTTCTGCAGGAAATTCTTCAACCATTTTCCGGCTCTCTCGAGGCAGTCCTCGTGGCCCACGCTGCAAGCTGCGTTCAATATCAATACACGAAATTCTCTTGAAACGAACGGAAACAAGACAAGATTTTCTTAATGGATGGCTTTTCGTAAAGGTATGTAAGAAGGGGAAGTATGTGTATTGTTCAAAAAATTCTTTTTGGATTTTTAGTGTATCCTGTTCTTTTTTTTTTTATGATTGAAAGAAAAAGTGATAATGTTTAGCGAATTTAAACTTTCTAATAAAATCAATATTGGAACGATTTGGCGATTTTACAATGGAATTCAGCTTGTTGAAAAAGTTTGAGTTGTTAAATACAGTAATATTTTAGAAATTATCAACAACGAAAAGAACTTTTGGATGGATAAGTTTTTTTGATAAAATAAAATAATTTTTCTTATTATTAGGTTTTGAGGTCGATGTACGAAAAGAATTCGTGTAATTGGACAAGATTAAAGAAATATTACGAATCTTACGAAAGATAATTACGTAAGTAGATAACAAAAAATAATAATCTTTTCAAATAATTAAAAGATTTCCTGTTATCACGCAAACTTGAACTAACCTTTCTTTAAACGAATCCTTTAAATGAAAATTCCACTTGATTTTGCGATAAACATTGTCGATTAGATTCTTCGCGTATGACTAAATTTATAACAGAAGAATGTAATGATTGTTACGATTATAACTTTATTTCTATTTTTTTTTTCTTCATGTTACTTGGAAACGTTTAAGCAGAGGTGTCCCTGAAAGCAATCTGTTCATCTGGTTGAACCATTCCACAGTAACGACCCACGGCTGATAAGCGTTTTCCTTCACTAGATAAGAAGTTAGGTTCATGATTATAAAGTAGCTCAAATCAGTTTCCGCTAAAAGAAAAGCGTCGTGCAACAAGTCCGCCCTGTTTATGGCATTCAAAGCCTGAAATCGTTTCAATCGTGAAATCAGAAGCTGATGAAACTTTTAGAAAAACGATGCAAAGTAATTCTGACGCATACTAAATGATTGGTTGATAGTAATTTGCTGAACGTGTTCCAAGCATCTTCCGTGTAATTCACAATGTAATAACCGATCGAATTGTGATTCATTTTGATCCAATCCACCGATCTTCCCACCGATAATTCCACTGTAATTTGGAGTGTGTGTTAAAAAATTGGGGATGAAAATTCGTTACGTGTGCTATTATTACCGCAAGAATAATTAGCAAGAAACCAATCCAGTTTGATTTTATTTCTTTGTCTGCTCGTCACGTATTTAATGGGAATGGTCCAGCCTGTACTAAACAAAAATGAAATTTCGAAAAATTTCACGAATACTTTAATCCTTTTCATAATTATTTTCTGATCAGATCTTGAAACTCTCGAAACATCGAACGATTTGTTTTTTCTCTATCTCATCTCTGAAATTCTTTCAATTCATTCAAACTTTTAGTCTATAAAATATATATTTTTCATCTTTATTCCTTTTCCAATCATTTGATTTTCGAATAAAAAAAGTTTCGACATTTCGAACGTCTCATCTCTAATTTTTCTCATCTTATTTTTTTTACTTTTTACTATGTTCTAACATTTTTCCTTTAACTGTCACTTTAATATTTTTTTTTTTTTTTGATTCTTCATCTTTTTCCCTTTCAAGATCGTTATTCACTTTTTATACGTACTCGATCGTTTCATTGAGTCGTCTGCTCGTCACGAAGCGTCGTCGAAGCAGTTGAAAATCCGCTTTGTTTCGGCGGACGTTGACCACCGGAAATCCGGGGAATCTCATCCATCGAGAGACGAAATCTACGATATCGATGGCGGAGCGCGTATTGTTCGCCAGGATATCGAAGAATTCTCGAGAATCCGCATTACGAAACTGATAGGTTTTCAGATACTGTCTGATAGTAGAAAACAAGCTGGCATTGCCAATAGCGTCCTCGAGCATCCTAATCACCGACGCAGCCTACCATTCAACCAACCACAATTGCTGTACTTTCTTTGTCTTCCCTCCGTGCCACTCTTTGACATTAATTCCATCATCAAATTCAATCTTTCCAAATAATCTACTTCTTCTTGGAAGAATTTCTTTTACCTCTTGTTGAACGGTGACGTTTTCTCAACGTACCTTTTGATAAGTCACCGGATCGAATATCTCTTCTATCTCTTCCGGATCCTCGATCCGTTTCACGACAGGACGAGCACGCAGTTTCACATCGTGTTTCATAGAGACGTATTTAGTGTATAAAGGAAAGGAATCCATCTGATGGAAGGGAGAAGATAAAGTTACGATTATATTGTGAAATTTACTTTTAATTAATACGATAGGAGGAACAAGATCGATTTAAATGATGACCAGATTCCAATCGGGGAACAAAGAATTGATCGTCAGATGCTCCATGTAAGTGGCGAATCCTTCGTTCAACCAAAGATCGTCCCACCATTTCATGGTGACCAGATTGCCGAACCACATATGGGCCAATTCGTGAGCGATCGTCAAGCTTACGCTTTTCGTATTGACGCAAGAGCTGTTTTCGCTGTGAAGCAGCTCTGTTTCACGGAACGTGACCAAACCCCAATTCTCCATCGCGCCGGCCGTGAAATCGGGTATGGCGACGAGATCTGAGATGCGGGACGAATAACAGAATAATTATTCGAAATTGCTATCGTTTGAAATAAATTGGTGTTGGTCTATTTTCTGAAAATTGCCAGTATTGGAAATAAATGAAGGCCAGAAATAAACGAAGGCCGCAGGGGAGAAACTTGATAAGCTTATTTTTATCGTTTCTCTGTCTTTCTACGTCATCTGGTAAAATAAAAGAGAATGTTTTTAATATACGAAGGGGATGTACATGGGAAATTTAATTTCAAGTTTAAAGATAGAACAATTAGGGAAACTGTAACTCGATAAAATCTAATTTCGACCTATAAAATTGTAAGATCGATGAGTCGATTCTTTAATTACCAAGCTTTGGTAGGGGATAATCGATCTGAAACGTGTGTAGGAGATACTTCATCGTTCTAACTGTGGTGTTCAAGGCGTATCCCACTTTGTGCTTGAACATAGGCCTCACGCAAACAGTTATTGGTATTTCATTTCCATTTAAGAGATCCATATGGGTTCCTATACAATCGAAGTCACTCACGAGAAAGCCAACGAGATAAGTGGACATTGGTGGCGTAGGATCGAAGTGTGCGATTGCTTTGTCTTCCTCGCCTTTCACCGCCTCTACTTTCTAATAAAAGTGCGCGTAATCGTTATATATCTTTTTTAATAAAACTAACATCACTGATTCGATTACCTTAAGAGGCATGTTCGATTGTGCATGATACAAAAACATTTTCTTAAAAATGATATTAATAACGAAAATCGCTTTGAAATTTGGCTCGTCGAAGCAAGGGAACGCAGTTCTGGCGTAAAGTGGCTCGAATTGCGACACCGCTAATTTTCTGCACAAAAATAAAAAATCCAAATTATCATTTCCATTCGATTCTATTTCGATGATTTGTTCGAATATTATATTATCAAATTGCTTTTACCTAATTGATTTATCAAAATAAGTGCTCAAGTAAAATCCGGTCATTTTTTGGGTCAGATTACCGGTGAAATCCATTTTCAAAAAGTATCGTCCCTCAGAGATATTTCTATAAGTGTTGATCACCAACATTTCGCGTTTCATTAACTTAACGATAGATTCTATTTGAATTTCTGTCTCCGGTTTTTCTATGTACAATTTAGTCGACGATATGGTTAAATCCTTCGAGTGTAAAACGATGTGACTTCGATTCTTTAAAAAAAAAAAAAATTTCAAATTTTTTGCAAATAATATTTTACGTATAAATCCCATTTTGTTTATCATATCAAAATTACTAACATTTAATAATTCGAGATCTATACGAACGTTACCGTGAAATTCATTTTTATTAAAATCAGGCGAAATCGTAATCACATATTTCTTGGGAATTACATCTTCCGGGAGACGTTTCTCGATTTCCATAGACTCATTGTAACGTGGACTTAAATTATCGAAAGGAACCTCGGCGTTGATCGCACGAGAATCTTTCGTCTTCATTAAGACTATTGTAATTAAGATAAATGGCCAGCCGGTCATTTCTAGAACAAAGATTCCTTGTTTCAGCCACACGATTTCTTTATCGTGTCACAGAGTTTAAATTGAGAAACGAATCTTTTTTTTTTTTCTTTGCTTACTGAAGTCTCAACTACGATGCAAATACCACTTAATCTCTTCTTCATAAAGATTACTGATTCGAAATATACGTTGAATATTGAATATTATTTTTATTCAAAGAAAACTGGATGATTTATAGCCATAAGAATGGGTTAGATATCTTTACGTCAAGAGACATACTATGCTCACTTCACTTTGTCCGCTCAAGTCATCTTGATATTGAAAACAAAAAGTTTTAAAGAGTTGATTAAAAAAAAAAGAATTGTATCGTTGTTTCGTACACATTGTATAAATAAATGAAAAGGTAACTCGCACTGAAATAATTAGTATCTATAGTAATACTAAAGTGAAAGTAACCAGAAGAGTGGTCATGAACAGACTTCGTAGTAGGCCAGTGAGAGCATTCACAGTATTTTCTAGAAAGAGAGAATGTGTTCAGTGATGAGAAGGACGAGAGAAATCCAGATTATGTGGAGAGGGAAATGTATAATTCTTATATAATGTTGGGAACCGGTTAATTCACAGTGACTTACAGTGTCTTATACTTGACTGTTTGTGTCTACTCCATTCATTTTCAGAACAATAGTGTCAATAAAGGAATAATTTATCATCAAGTCTCATAAAATTTTGTGTAAAATTGAAATTAGTGATTGTTAACTCAAAAAAGAAAAAAGAAAGAGAAAAAAAAGTTTAAAATCCAACCATTATATTTCACAGATTAACGACAATGGCGAGTTACAAATTAGTATACTTCAACGTAATGGGATTAGGAGAACCCATCAGGTTCCTTCTTAGTTATGGAGGCGTCGAATTCGAGGATGTTCGCATAACTCATTCTTCGGAAGATTGGAGCAATATGAAGCCAAGTATAATTCATTCTTTTTTTTTTTACTCCATTTCGATAAAAATTTGAGAATTTCAACCATTTCGATGTTTTCCCAGCGACCCCGTTCGGTCAGCTGCCCACGTTGGAAATCAACGGCAAAGTTTACTCGCAAACATTACCTATTTGCCGTTACCTGGCCAAACAGTTTAATCTGCTTGGCAAAACTGATTTGGATACGTTGCAGATCGACGCGATCGCGAGCGCTCTTTACGATTTCAGATGGCGTAAATATTGATTTCGTTCCCATGCAAATTGATTCCTTCACGAACGAATATATACTAGCATGAATAATGTTTCAATTCAGCTACGTGATCGATAAATTTCCTTTTTTTTCTTTCCAGTGACAATATCGTCTTATTATAGAGAATCCGATCCTGTTTTAAAAGCGAAGAAGAAAGTCGATGTAATGACAAGGGTGATACCGTTTTACTTGAATAAATTGGAGGAATTGGCGAAGAACAATGGAGGATATTTGCATGGTGATAAGGTGAGCATATTATTCATTATAATTGTAAATGAGTTATGAAATTAGTTGAGTTATATTTCATTTATTTTTAGTTGAGTTATGCTGATCTGTTTTTCGTCGGCATCTCAGATTCGCTGAATACGGCTTATGAATCGGATATCACGAACAACAAGCCCTATCTAAAATCTTTGAAGCAGAAAGTATTGGCGATTCCGAATATCAAAGCTTGGGTGGAAAAAAGACCGAAATTGGAATTTTAATAATCGATACATATTTTTTACGATGTAAAAAGTATGCATTTGTATATTGTATAAATATAACGAAAGCTCAAATTCAAATATTAGAATTGCATTTTAATTGTTGCGTAAAATGATAATTCAAATTTGGCGGTATTGCATATGGTCTGTTAACTTACCAGCTGTTGTTTACACGTTTCAATATTTAATGTTTAATGAATATACGATCATTAAATATACAATTATGATAAACTGATAATATTAATTGAAAATACATTTAAAATGCAAATGGAACAAATATTGTAATTGAAAACATTTGAAAATATTCAAAGTTTTCGTTTTCAACGACTAACAAGTGGCCTGGTAACCTAATTGAACGAAACGATCGATGAATCTGTTTTTGAATCTTTTTCTCTTTTTTATAACAGTCTTTCGAACAAGGAAATCATATCGATTGATTTTATTATTTTAAAAAAGATTGAATTTTAATTATTTGGATGCAAGATCGTCGATTGACCATGGCGGTTAGTGGCGCCTCCACTCGGTGAACGGGTGGCGGCAGCTGGTGGCGGCGCGGCCAATAAGCGCTCTCGAATGATCGCTGCGCGTGGAGGGCTGCGCGACCGTCTCCTAGCCGCGGAGCCGTCAGTGTGCGCGCCGCGGAGAGCCAGACAGACAGACATCTTGTAGTAGAATTTAGCGGCGTGGTGTTTTCGACCGTGGGTGTCGGTGTCACGGTTTCGTGTCGCGGTGCTCGTCATTACGGTGTCGTCGCCGTCGCCGTCGTCGTGGTCGTCATCGTCGTCTTCGCCGTCGTCGTCGCCGCCGTCGTCGTCGTGATCGTTCCCCTGTGTTCACGCCGCAATCGTGTCGTTGTCGTTGTCCTCCGCCTCGTCGACGTCGTTGCTGTCGTTAATAATCATCGTCTTACGACTGTCGTTTATCGAGGTTCTGTCGTGTTGCTCGTGTGGTGGTACCGCGATTGCGAGACCCCCTCGGTGCGGGCCGTGCAGCTCGCGTGGTCCAGCGATCCAGTTACTCGCCCCGCAAAAGGCGTTGGTGGTATCTTTTGTCGGGCAGAGGGAGAGAGTAAGAGAGCAAACGAGAGAGGGAGTGAGAAAAACGAGAAGAGGCATACTGTAGGTCGGTCGGTGTAGTAAATATACGGGAAGTGAGAGGAACACGGCAGAATAATTTCTCACTCTGCAAACGCCCAATGAACAACGCTTCAGAGCCACCGATGTGCCGCACCGTGCGATAACTTCCGTCACCTCTCCGACCCCCGTCTCCTCCCTCCCCTACTCCGTGCGTGTATGTGTGTGTGCCGCGCCGGGCTCTCGAGGTGAAAATACCGCCCTCTCCTTCCACCCAACCCCCCGTTGGAGAGGAACCTACCTCGCGCGAGTAACTACGGCTAGAGAAAGAAGAAAAAAACAGTGACAGAGTGACACGGTGAAAGAGTGGGAGAGAGACGATCCTGTGTGACCGGGAAGAGGAAAAGTGAAATAGAGAAGAGCGAGGAGAGAAAGAGAGCGAGAGGCCGGCGCCCACCCGTCAACTATCCTGATACAGCATGACCTCGAACAACTCGCAGAAGCTCTCCACGACGGAACGAGTGATCAAAAGTAAGCAACATAAATATTTTTCTTATAATCGCGATCGCGAATGGTACATCGTTGTATGTGATATACGATGCCAGCTTGGCTTTGTATGTACGTGTCAGTGTTCGCGCGATCTTAACTTGTGTGTACGTGTGCATGGCCCTGTGGCCTCGTCTTTTCCGGCTACCTCGGTCGGTACGTCAGTTTACTCTCACATTTCTCGACTTGCATTCGTTTTTCTCCCTGTCCTATTATTGATATTACTCGGATGAATCTTATCTATGCTACGCTATTATCCTAATTCTTCAAACAAAACGTCGTATCGTGATGTTTCGAAAACGAATGAGAAATAAATAGGCACGTCAAAACACGTCGCGTGCCGTACAGGATTGATTTTCTTCGTAGCTTCGCGGCGCCATTGCTATCGACCTGCCAGTATTCTCATTGACCCTTCGAATCATGCTTTTCCACCCTACCGTTTTGTCTGCAGTCCCTTGTGTGTACATAGAATTTCATGAATAGATGAGAAAATAGCATTCTATTCCCAATCCGTTATAGTTTCTCTCGATTTATCTCTCGCGCGGTAGAACCTAACCTAATTCGCGTTTTACCCATCAACCCCGCCTCCCCCGCCATCTTCTTGTCTGCAGAATCGTGCGGCTCGCGCGGTTAGCCTCGTTTCCACGAGGTCGAGGAACGGAATTGTCTCGAGGACGCGGCACGCCGCTCGAGGATTTCGCGTCTGGACGTCGTCGTTCGAACAGCTGACCGGCTCGCGTGTACGTGCACTAATGCGTATCCGATGTAAATACGCGTTTCGTGGCCAGGGAAGCAATCATTGGCGTCAACATAGTTTTTACAGGAGTGTTAAATGACAGATTAATTTAAGAGGCATTTTGATCGTTCATTTTTCTCAGTACCTTTACATTGGTGCAATTTCAAACGACCTCGTTTTTATTCCGCAGAATAATTAACATCTCTGTTGGTAACCAGCAAACGCAAAAAATGCGGTCAAACGTTGCGCTATGAAACTCGTCGATATGTAGTCGTTAAGGAGCTCTCTGCAATGACCTATATTCATAACGAAAGTGATTATTTTTGTAAAGAATGAAAATGATTATGTTCGATTCTTTTCACCATTCACGTTCTCGGTTGTTCACTTTTTATCGGTCATTTCATTTATGCTTTCGTACCTTTAACCGCAGTGCGTATTGCACTCGTACAATGGCCGCTGTGGGGTTAATTCCGTTTCCATTCTTTTGGGCACGCGTCAAATCATTGTTCGTGAGTTTGCCGATACAAGCATGTCTTTTTTAACCGAAGAAGCATGTTGACCCACATTACTGGCGAAAAGGGGAAATTGGTTCAGGATGTACAGGTGGCACTTTAGGTCATCGACCTTTATTGCGTGGCGCCCTCCGCGTTGTTTTTCTTTTCCCTTCCGATTTTTAAGTTCCTTTTTTTTTTATTCTCGTTTTCTATTCTCGTTTTTCAAATTCTACTTCGATTATTCTTTATTTTCATTCGGTAATTTTGTTAATTTTTTGTATTTTGCGATTAATTCATATCGGTTTTTTCAAAAATGTAAAACTTTATGATTTACTTAAATATTTTTACTTAAATATGCATCTAAGATATTAACGTCGATGTAATTATTATTCAACATTGTCTTTATTAATTCTTTTATTTTAGATTTTTGATAATTTGGAAAATTATCCTCAATTTGAATCAATAAGAATTCCATTTCATGAAATATATCATTTTAATTTGTATTTTGTATGTTTATCGTGTATGGTACAAAATACAAATTGAGAATAAAAATTCTGAAATTAAATAACAAAACTCAAATCTGTTTCATTTATCTATGATTCAACGATATTCAACGGTGAATTAAAATCACGATCATGATAATTAATATTTTATTTCTATAATTATATCATACTTTGAACATTATCTAATTATGTTCCTATCTTTGAATCATTTTTGTGTATTCATTTCATTATCATGTTTCGTGATCAAATTACAAATAACAATTAACCAAAATAATTAATCGAAACTCTAGATATTCATCAGTGATTCACGCAATTCGATCGATCGATTACAAAAAATCTATTTAACGTATTGATTTCACTGTACGCGCGTTGAATTGACAATTATTAGCACAAGATGAAATGGATCAAAAATAGATGTCGTCGGTCACGTGTATGACCGCGAACTATCAACTACCGAATATAACTCATTGTCGTGACGGGAATATCGTAATTTGGAGGATATCCAAGCCTCGTCGACGATTAACGATTTTTAATCGGCCTTTTGATAATCCGCTTCCCATTATTCATCCACGATTGCGCAGAGGACAATTGCATTTGCTTCTCTCTTGTTTCTTTCCATATTTTTGCGTTGTTTTATTAACTTGTTACTGATGTTTATCCAATTATCGCGAATTTTTCACGAGATGATTTGATTATCATATTGGTTAATTTACAAATTTAATTTACCATGTTATAAATTTCGAAGTTTTCAAAATAGATTTAAAGCAGATATAGAATTGAGAATTCGACAAGATAGTAGGAAATATATTTTTAATAATTTTCGAGTTATTAAATGTAATATATGTAAAAGCTACATGCAGATAAAAGCAAAGGGTTTAGATTGTTCAATAAGAATTTTTTACTGTTAACTATTTTTAATATTTTGATGCAAATTGTAGTTACTTCGAATTTAAAAAATTCAGATATTGAAATATTCGACGTAGTTCGACAATTAATTAGTATTATTTATTTCGATAGTAGAAAATTATAACATGCTCGTACTTTTACAAATTTAAAATGCATTTTTCTTCAATTCGTTTTTCAATTTGCAATCACATTATTCCGTAATTATACGAATGTTTGAAATATCGCTGGAAATAGCTTTGCTTTAAATTGCAATGTCCCTACTATTCACGATATTTAAATTAATTATCAACAAGAGAAACAAATTTATTTTAACGAATAATTTTATAGAAAATTTTACAGAAAATTGTAGCGCATCTACTAACTCGAATAACCTGTTTATTCCACGTTTAATTTAATCGAATTCAATTCGTTCATCTCAGATCGAAAACATCGCGTTCCGTTTAATATTTGTTTCCTTTTCTCCTCGAATACGTTTGCATCGTATGATAGAAACGTCACGGTTCGAGGTCTACTCAGGGTTAAGTTATACGTTGACTTCCACTTCTCAGTCGTCGATCGAGCCGCGTGTGTGCCAGTTGGTATGGAAATTAGGCTTGCTACAACTGACGCATCTGTCGAGACAAACTGAAACACGAGTCTTCTTCGTTTGTTATTTTCTATTTATTCATCGTGTTTATTTTTCACTTTTTTACACACGAGTTGTACATTTTAATATACTCTTCGTTTTCGAGTAGGAGTATAGTTCTCCACGTGTTGATATTTAAAGTTAATGAGGATTCAGGGAAGTGGTGGAAGACAGGCATGTACCACATGTATATCAATTTCAAT